TTGGCACAGACGTCCTTGAGGACAGACAGGAGGACCTTGAGTGTCTTGCAGCCGCTGCGCCTCATCTCGTGTCCATGCTGCTTGCCCCTGAGGGAGACCCGGATGCTCCAGACATCCCGACCATGCGCTCTTACGCTGAGGCGATCGCGGGTGAGTACTCCTCTCAGTGGCAGACAGCCATGGACACAGAGATGGCATCCTGGAAGTCCACAGGCACCTACGTTGACGAGGTTCCCCCTCCTGGGGCGAACATCGTCAGTGGCATGTGGATTTTCAGGGTGAAGCGGCCACCAAGTTCTCCGCCTGTCTTCAAGGCTCGTTACGTTGCCCGAGGTTTCAGTCAGTGAGAGGGAGTTGACTTCTTCCAGACCTTCTCCCCCACCCCGAAGATGACCACTCTTCGGGTGCTACTGCACGTTGCCGCTCAGCGTGACTACGAGCTTCACTCCCTTGACTTCAGCACAGCTTTCTTACAGGGCAGCCTGCACGAGGAGATCTGGCTGCGCCGCCCTCCTGGCTTCACTGGGTCGTTCCCTCCTGATGCCCAGTGGAGCCTCCGGCGGCCAGTCTACGGTCTCTGCTAGGCGCCTCGTGAGTGGCACGACACACTGAGAACTACACTTGCGGCTCTTGGGTTTGCTCCTTTGACTACTGACCCGTCGCTGTTTCTGCGGACCGACACTTCGCTGCCGCCGTTCTATATCCTCGTGTACGTCGACGACTTGGTCTTTGCCACTGCTAACACTGAGGCTCTTGCCCTGGTGAATTCGGAGCTGCAGAAGAGACACACGTGCACAGACCTGGGTGAGCTGCGCAGCTACCTTGGCTTGCAGATCACCCGGGACAGAGCACGTCACACCATCACACTGACTCAGTCACACATGGTGCAGCAGGTCCTTCAGCGCTTGGGCTTCACCTGGTCCTCGGCACAGGCCACTCCTCTGGCTACAGGTCACTCGCTCTCAGCTCCACCTTCGGACGAGTCCGTAGAGCCGAGTGGTCCTTACCCAGAGCTAGTTCGCTGCCTCATGTACCTGATGACTTGCACTCGTCCTGACCTCGCGTACCCTCTTGGCCTTCTCGCTCGCTACGTGGCTCTTGGTCGGCACCGACCAAAGCACATGGCTGCTGCTAAAAAGGTACTGCGCTACTTGTGCAGTACATCAGGCATGGGGCTTGTGCTTGGAGGGAGGAGCTCAGTTGTTCTCTCTGGGCACTCAAACGCTTCTTGGGTTGACGACCAGGCTACTTAGTGGTCGTCACAGGGTTTCACCTTCAACCTTGGCTTTGGTTCAATTTCTTGGCGTTCTACACGCTCGTCTTCTGTTTTCAGCTCGAGTTGTGAGGCTGAGATCTACGCCACAGCCATGGCTGCACAGGTGTTACGCTGGCTCACCTACCTGCTGACCGACTTGGGAGAGCGACCTCGTTCTCCTCCAGTGCTGTACGTTGACAACAAGGCTGCCATTGCCTTGTGTGAGGAGCACAGACTGGAGCACAGAACGAAGCACATCGCTCTGCGTTACTTCCTGTCTTGAGATTTGCAGCAGCGTGGTCAGCTTCGTCTGCGTTACGTGGCCACTCGGGCCAACACTGCTGATATATTCACCAAGGCACTTCAGTCTAGTGATCATCAGCGTTTCTGCACTTCGGTGGGGGTTGTGCCCACTCTTCCTCACTTGCTGTAGACCTTGCTTGTACTGTGATATATATATATATAAATATAAATATATATATATACCTTGCTTTGCCAGGTAGAGATCACTGTGATGTTTGTGTTGCATATATGCCTGTGCATGTGAACTAGCCTTGTGGCCCTTTGCTTGTGCTCAGTGTGTGTTGTGACGTCGTGATCCACCCTGAGCTTGCTTTGCTTTTCTTGACTGGTCTTGTGACCTCTTGCTCTCCCCCACTTTGCCTATGGGGGTGTGTCAAACATATGGTTATATCATATTTGTGGGTAGGCTGTAGTGGGGTAGATTATGTGGGGTATAACCCCTTAGGGTTTTCCCTTGTACTCAATTCTCTCGATAGTGCAACTCAGCCATGCCTAGCTTCTAAGATACTTCGCCCTTACATCCGAACCACAAGCCAACTGCCTCGTCACCGCTCGCCATCCATGACTCACCCTGCATCGGAGCCGATAATTGAGCCCGAAAAAATCATGAGCCATCGGATTCGACACCTTACAGGCATCAAGAGGATTGGATTCCTCGTTCGCTGGAAGGACTGCACGCCAACGCAGGATAGCTGGGTGCCCCTGGCCAACATTGAAAACCACCTTGCCTTGTAAGTATACCTGAGGAGCCGGGGTTTCCGCGATATACACGCACTTGCGTAGCGGAGGGGGCTTCTTGATGGGGGGGGGGGGGGGGGGGGGGGGTAGTGTAAGGAATTTTCCCGACATTCCTTACCGCGACCATCAACATCGCGTACAGCAGCAACCGTTGTTCGCCCGGTACTGCTAATGGGGCTTCGCCAATTTCGCGCGCACTGTTTCACCAAACCATGCACTGCTGGCCCAGCCGAGTCGGCCTACGCTTCGGGGCTAGCCCGAACCTCGATGCCAGCCTAGCACTAGCTAGCTCGCACGCACCGCGTTACCGTTTGCATGTTTCGCGTATAAGTATTCGCTCATACCTTCGCTCATACTTTGTACTCGTTTGACACCTAGTGCAATCTTCGCTATCTCGTTCCATTGCATTGCAACCATAACAGATATGTATATATATTTGCATGTCACAGAGGGTTGTGTGTTTGGATGAATGTCTTGGGATAGGGCTGGTGTGCAGGAGGGAATTGATCGGATGCCCAAGAACTTCCAACTTAGGGGCAAAATGATTCTAAGAGGGTGGAAAGTGGTGCAGCTGTTTGCTGCACAGTACCAGACCTAGTTCTTTCCCCACCATCCAGTGGTACAGCAACATACGCTACTGCATTAGAAAATGACCATCGGACATAAACAGTTATTGCATGTCGGTATATAAACATGTTGTTGCATGTGCCTTCCTAACAGGATATAAACATTAGTAGAGTGTTCAACTTGGGCATCGTTCAGGAGATCTAATTGGTTGTGTGCGGTGGGGAGGTGGTGTTAGTACAGAAAATGCTTCCCACGAAAGCAGGCAGGCAGGCAGGAGGTTGAGAGGGAGGTCAAGCGGGAAGAGGGGCGTGCTGCAGCAGCCACGCTCTCATATCCGCCAGCTCCTCACCGCACATGGCGTGTGCCAGGCTGTAGGGCAAAGGGGAAGGCACCAAGAAGTGTTTTTGAGACATATTGTATCTGCTGTTGTGTTTTGAGTCGACTCAAAACTAGACATACTGCAACTGGGGTCCAATCGGACAAACCCGCCAGCTCCTCACTGCACATGGCGTGCGCCAGGCCGTAGTTTAAAAAGGGAAATCTAAGAAAGTATTATCGGGAGGCTCTGAAAGAGAAGTTTGTGGGTGGTGGGTGGGATAACCGTTCTTGTGTCGACTAAAAAAGGCATGAGATATATTTCTGATATATTGTGGGTAGAGAAAACGTCACGCCAGTAGAACAAAAAGAGAAACATGGAACGACAAGAAAATACACGAAACCACGGATATCCCAGATAAGAGATATACCCATATCCCTCAGATGCCATGTTTCCACAAGGCATCAACAATAACGCATTTTCACTCGGGATATGAAGGTGAGGTTGGAGAAGCTTCACTGGGTATGGTGCCTGAGTCGACTACACCATCACCCACCTTCATCCCCTAAACCAGTAACACCATATGTGGTGTGGTGTATTGCACACTAACGCAGGCTAGGAAGGTATGGCGCCTGGCTTGACTCAACTATCATCCCCTAAACCAAACGTTTCATCCGCAGTAACAGAGTCTTACAGGGGATACGACTGGAAGGTGAGGTTGGAGAAGCCAGCATTGCGCAGCAGGTCAGAGCAGTTCCTGCCCCAGGCGAAGCCCACGAGAAGGTCAACTGCACACACAAGCACACGAAAGAAGTCAACGAGATGACTTTCTGGTCCACCCAAAAGGCACCTTGCAGTCCCTCCCTGCCCCAGGCATAGCCCACCAGCGGGTCAACTGCACACGAACACGCACACGCGCACGTAAGAAGTCAACAAGATGACTTTTTGGTCCACTCAAAGGTCATCTCGCAGTCCCTGCCCCAGCTGTAGCCCACCAGGGGGTCAACAGCGCACGCACACACACATGCAAGAAATCCACGAGGGAAGGGAGAAACAGCAAACATGGCATTCAACTCAAGCCTCTCCATCTCGTGTTAACAGCACACAAGGCGCCTCAAGAAGCCAGCAGGCCAGCGCAGTCCGTGCCCCAGGCGCAGCCCTGAGGCACCGTGAATGCACTATGCCTCACGGTGCCTCACAGTGCCTCAGGCCAGCGCAGTCCATGCCCCAGGCGCAGCCCAGCAGCGGGTCAACTGCACCTGCACAAGCACAAAAGGCGCCTCAAGAAGCCAGCAGTGCGCAGCAGGTCAGAGCAGCCATTGCCCGAGGCGTGTTGCCCCAGCTGTAGCCCACTAGGGGGTCAACTCCACACGTCAGCACACGAAAGAAGTCAACGAGATGACTTCTTGGTCCACTCTGAAGTCGCCTTGTGAGTCAACAGTCAATGCAAAAGGCATCTCGTAGTCCTTGCCCCAGCCAAGAGGCGAGAGGTGGCACAGAAGCTAGTAGTACACAGAGAAGGGATTTTTTCCAGCCACCCGTCCGTCCCTCTTACTCAGGTAACGGCTTGGAATGGATGCTCCTATATCACATGCCACCCTCCTCTCCCCTCCCCTCCCCTCCGCTCCACAGAATACCTTTCCCATGCATCATGAGCAGCAGATGCTTCGGAGCCCTCTCCGCAGCAACTGTTATCTTGAATCGATTAAATAGTGTCCCCATAACACATGCCACCCTCCGCTCCCGCACCGTACCTTTCCCATGCGTCATGAACAGCGAATGCCTCGCAGCCCTTTCTGTAACAGCTGTAATTCAGTTGACTTAGAAAGCTAATGCCACCTTTCCCCTCTCCCCCCCCTGCACCGCACCTTCCCCATGCGTCATGAACAGAGGATGCCTCGCAGCCCTCTCTGCAAGAGCTGCATCCGTCTCTCCAGGTGCCGGGATCAGACTGTGGAGGTGGGGGGAGGTATAGGAGAGGAAAGGGGGGGGAATAAGAGCTGAAGGAGGAGGAAAGGGGGAGGAAAGGGGGAACAACGGATTCATTGTTGGGACAAGATAACACCTTCCTTCCACCTGCACTTGGGGAGAGGGTGTTTTTGAGACGTCTCAAAAACAGCCTCTCTACACGTGGCTATTCATCGTTGGGACAAGATAACACCTTCCTTCCACCTGCACTTGGGCAGACAGCCGCTGAAAGCAAGAGAGATGGATTGCAGGCTACCCACACAGCTCGGAACCGACCTTCCCCAGATCCCACCTGCACTTGGGCAGCCACGTGCTCAGGCCAATGCAGGCAAAGAAGGGCACAGAGAGACCATCCAACCCCTTCAATTAACACCCTCCCCAGACCCCACCTGCACTTGGGCAACCACGTGCTAAGGCCAATGGAGGCAGAGAAGGGCAGAGCGGAAGCATCAGAACCATCCGCGAAGCTTCCCAGCGCCTTCCGGCACATGAGGTAGAGGGAGAGGCTCCCCCCTTGGCTGATCCCTCCCACTATGTACGTGACGTCTGGTGGGTGCGGGGAAGCGGACAGGAGGAAAAAAAGAGAAAGGTTTCAATATAAGGCGACTCAATAAATGAGAGGAGAGAGGGCTCCCTCGGCTGATCCCACCCACCCACCCACTGTATACGTGACGTCTGGTGAGGCTGACACAGAGAGGCTGACACAGAGAGGCTGACACAGAGAAAGAAGAAACTGGGGGCAATTCAACGAAAGGTACCAGTTAAAAGGAAGGGATAGGGGGTGAAGAGCTCTTGCACCCCCCCGGCTGATCCGAGCCACTTATCTCGCAGCCGCATGAATGCCTTTCAGACCTAACCCAGTTTCTACACACCCAATCAGCACAGCACAGAACAGAGCAGCAATCCACCCACCAGGATGCGCGCTTCTCTCCTCCTCGAGAATCCCAGCAATGTATCTGGCAGCCTCGTCAAGGCCCGCGGCATCCACGGGAGCATCGGGGTTGAAACCATGGATGTCGTACCCTGGCTAGGCGAGGAGGAGAGAAGGGCATGTACCATGAGGGATGGATGAGGGGGATGAGGGATGGATGAGGGGCATAGATGGGAGAAGAACTGGGCAGGTAGCGACTATAATACGACACCTCTGATCTGACGGCGTTTTGTGCTGGGAGGGAGCGCGGCTCACACGAAGGGCACATGAGTCACTCACTCACAGAAAGGGGACATGAGGCGCTCACAGGAAGGGATATCAGGGGCTCACACGAAGGTGCATGAGAGGCTCACAGGAAGGGGTGCGATGGCCGCGCCGCGGTTGATGGAGACAAGGGCCGATGATAAAGACATCCAAGAAAACGAGCTCAAAGAAAGGCCACCTGAGTAACTCACACGAAGGGCACGTGCGGGACTCACAGAAAGGGCACGTGAGGAACTCACAGGAAGGGGAGCGATGGCCGCGGTTGACAGAGACGGGAGCTGTAGGGGCGCTGGGGAATATCCACTTGACCTGCCACATGGGAATGAGGGAGGAGATGAGGCGAGGTGAGGTGCGTTACAGATGGGTCTCAGGCGCTTAGAATGTCGGCTGTAGGGGCGCTGGGGAATATCCACTTGACCTGCCACATGGGAACGCGGTGAGTGTGGGGAGGAGATGAGGTGAGGAGAGAATGGCGAGGTGAGGTGAGGTGAGGTGAGGCGAGGTGAGGCGAGGTGAGGCCAGGTGAACCATGGATCTGAAGCGCTCGGAAAATCGTTGCTACAGGCGCTGTGAAACGAAACGTCCAATCCAATGCGCACGGAGAAGCCTCCGTTGTTGGGTGATCATGGAAGTCTCAAAATTCACAGAATTTCCAAAATTCACAGAATCCACAAAATCAACCTACAACACAGGGAGGTCGCATAAAAAGCCCCCCTTCTCAGGTACTCCCCCCACCCAACCCCATCAGCCACCCCAGGCAACCATTGCAAGCACCCATCGCCTGTGTCGACTCGACAGCCAGTTGCACATACAGGAGGGAGGTCTAGTTTAAATATGCCACTCACTCACTCTTTTTTCTAAGCCACTCACTATTTTTTCTATGCCACTCACTCTTTTTTCGAACAGCAACAGACACACGTAGCCGCCGTATAGGATCGGTGGCTGGGTGTCAACCGACTAAAAGTTTTACGCACTCTCACGCCAGCTCTCAGTATTCCACACGCCATCTCACCGCAACCCACCCCACCCCACCCCATCCCACCCCACTTCATGCAGCCAATGCAAGCACCCATAACCGTACGTGTGGGAGGTCGAGTAGATGGTTGCCGCCTTGTTCACCCACAGATTCCCACACCATATTCAGCCAGTTCGAGATGCCATTGCCGCTGTCCCCCAGCCCGTGCAGCCACACCACCGTGGCCGAGTGCTGCCCTTCCAGCGCTTCCACCACTTTGGTCGGGCCCGCTCGTGTGCCTGGGGGGAAGTGGAGCGCGAAGGGAAGTGGGCAATCAAGTTCACTCAAACGTTCATCACCCACACTAACCACAGTGCAGTGCATGGGGTACAGCGAGTGGGGACCTGCGCCTGGCAGTGCATGGGGGACCTGGGTGAAGTGGGGAGTAAACAATGGTCTGTGGCTTCATGTAAAATAGTTAGCAGGATCAGAAGAATGGTGGGAACGGCAGGGGTACAGCAGTGGGGGGAGAAGGCAGTGAAAAGCTTGCTGGGATAAGTATGGTGATTGGTACGTGGTGGTCGGGTATTGGTGGAGCAGTCCTTACTGTATGGTGATTGATCCGTTGCTGATGCTGCTCCTGCTCCTGCTCCTGCTGCTGCTGCTGCTGCTGCTGCTGCTGCTGCTTCCGCTGCTGCTTCCGCTTCTGCTTCCGCTCCTGCATGTTTTGCCGCTGCTGCTGGTTCTGTCGTTCCTACAGGAGCTCGGCCCTCTGCGGGTGCGGGACTGGAAGTCATCTCGCCACGATCGTTGCGAGTGCCGAACATCCTCCGGATTAGGTTACCGAACCTCTTCGGGAGAGCATTTCGGAGAGACATTACTATGGTTTATGGGAACGATACGCAAGCGGCCAGTAGATGATAGATAAGAGAACGAGGAAGACTTGGGGAAAATGTTGGAATGTTTCGGCAAACCACGAAAGGATTTTATCCCTCGTCATGGCGGAACCTAGGGAGAACTGGCGTGGAAATTGGGGTAAACGAAGATAAGTTGAAATGGCAGCGAGAAGAGTAGAAGACAAGCAAGGGAACTCTGGGAAGCGGAGTCGTCTGGGATCTGGAAACTCGGACCAGGATCTGATCCAGCCACCGACTCTTCTGAATGGTCGCGAACGCATTTCGATATTTCGCAAGCACGCTCTTTCCATCACGATTAGTTGCGACGTCATTTTGCGACGAAGACGATGATGTGCGATCACGAATAGGCTGGTCAGTGTGGTCCGCCTGGGTCCATGCCTGGTCTAAGGCTGTTACAAGCCTGGGTCCACGAGGCTGGTCCGTGGCTTGGTTCTCAAGCCTATTTCCAGGCCAGGCAGGTATGTTGGTTGGCTTGGCTTGGGTGATGCTATGGGCGTATCCCTGTCTGGTGGCAGGGCCACTGTAGCTGGCAAGGTTGGTGGCAACTTTCCCAAAAACACAGGGGCCCGGAAAATGCGCATGCCACCAACAGTGCCAGCTACAGTTGCCCTGCCACCACTCAGGGATACGCCAGGTGAGAGACGTAAGGGTTTGAAATTCCGAGAAGAGATTGACCTCACGAGGCTGGTCCCCGCCTAGCGAGGTGGACGGGGTTCTTCGATTTGGGTGCGTTGAAGAGTTGGGTGCTGATTCGATAAAAAGGAGAGAAAGCAATTCACATCCTTCAGTGATTTGCAGAATTTGATAGCTTACTGGCAATATATACTTTTGCTCCTCTTACAAGGGTCACACAACTGCAAATGGGTCATGGACACCTTGACATGCAATGTTGCAGGTGGAGAATCAAGAAGGTGGTGGCACGTTCTTCTGCAGCCATGCTTTGAGATCTGCCAGTTCTTCAGGACAAGCAGAGTGGGCCATGCTGTGGGGTGGGGGGAGGGGGTGGGGGGAGGTAGAAACAGGACTGGTCATAATAGCACAAGATGACCTTGTATGGACGCATGTGACAGCCCATGAGAGACTTCGTGTGCCAATATGTAGGCACAAGCTGTGATAAAGAGCTGCGGAGTAGGTAAGGTGACCCGAAGGATACCGTATCTGCAGCTGGCGGTGAACCGTGTGAACTACCGTGTGTATAATTTTTTCAAAACAAGCAGAAGTCACACGGGGCAAGGAAAAATGCACCCTTTTCCAAGCGGACCCCCTCCCATGACAGACAACGACCCACCCACGGTACGGCTTGAAGGTCAGGTTGGAGAACAACGCCCTTCCTGCAGCACCTGAGATTGACGCGCCTCAAAACTAGTGTCCAAGGGAACCCCCTCCCATTTTCATAACAAGCAATCACCCACCCGCGGTATGACTTGAAGGTCAGGCTCGAGAACCCTGCTTCCTGCAGCACCTGCGCCGACCCCTTGCCAAAGGCGAATGGCACCAGGCTGTCAGCTGCATGGGGAGGGATGTACGGGAGGGCATGAGCACATGTGGTATGGGGGATGAAGGGGGGAAACAAGTCAGGAATCGATGATGGACCCACATGCACCTTCCTGCAGCACTTGAGCCGATTCGTACCGAAGGCAAAAGGCACCAGGCTGTCCATTGCACAAGCGAAAGTATTGCCTATACCATACGAGCGAGCAACAATGCAGCAAACGGCACCTTGGCATTGGTGTGCGTGTGGGACAAAATGGTAACGCTGCAAGCACTGCGTCCGAGCCATTGGCATTCCGGATTCCCCCCTTTCCCCTTCTCGACCCAACCCCTCCCCATCCCCCCTGTATCCCCCACCCCCTCCCCATCCCCCCTTTTCTCTCACCCTGTGCGTAGCTTCTGCATATCCACGATCCATCCAAACTTCACTTCAACATGCACAGATCAACCAAAGCCAACCTCCCCCATGCGCGATGCCCCAAGCCTACCTTCTCCATGAGCCATGAGCAAAGGGTGGGCCGCAGCTTTCTCTCCCACTGACGCATCCCCCACTGCTGCGCTGCCTCCGGGCTTCAGACTGCTTGCCATAAGAGGGGGAAGGAGGGAAAAGGGAAGCGAGATGGGAAGGGGGATGGGAAGGGGGATGGTAAGGGGGATGGGAAGGGGGATGGGAAGGTGGATGGGAAGGTGGATGGGAAGGTGGACGGGAAGGTGGATGGGAAGGTGGATGGGAAAGGGGGTAGTTCGATCACGAGTTTCAAAGCTGGTAGCAGCAGCAATAATAGCCCTACTCCAAAGTTAACCTTTTTCTAAGAGGGAACAGAGACGGAAAGGCAGCAGACAGACCAATCTCATCCCCTCCCCTATCCCACCTTTCCCAACTCCCGCCTGCACTTAAGCAGACTATCTCACCCTTCCCCACGCCCCACCTTCCCCATACCCAACTTCCCATGAGCAAATCTCACCCCGTCAGATTACACTAGAACCTCCCCAGGGTCCACCTTTCACATCCACCTGCGCTTGGGCAGCCAGCCGCTGAAGGCAACAGAGGCGTGGAGCGGCACAGACAAGGCTCCCACATCTCCCAAGCCCTCCACCCTTCCCAAGCCCTCCACCCTTCCCAAGCCCTCCACCCTTCCCAAGCCCTCCACCCTTCCCAAGCCCTCCACCCTTCCCAAGCCCTCCACCCACCCTTCCCAAGCCCTCCACCCACCCTTCCCAAGCCCTCCACCCACCCTTCCCAAGCCCTCCACCCACCCTTCCCAAGCCCTACACCCACCCTTCCCAAGCCCTCCACCCACCCTTCCCAAGCCCTCCACCCTGCCCAAGCCCTCCACCCTGCCCAAGCCCTCCACCCTGCCCAAGCCCTCCACCCTGCCCAAGCCCTCCACCCTGCCCAAGCCCTCCACCCTGCCCAAGCCCTCTACCCTTCCAAAGCCCGTTCTTGCCCCAGATACTCCCACCTTGGACATACCCCACCCCACCTTTCGCATACCCCACCCACCTGCACTTGGGCAGCCAGCCACTGAAGGCAACAGAGGCGTGGAGCGGCACAGCCGAGGCATCGGAACCATCCTCAAACTTTCCCAGAACCTTCCGGGACATGAGGTACAGTGAGAGAGCGCCCCCTTGACTGAACCCACCCACTGCAAACTTGACATCTGGTGAGGGCGGGAGGGCAGGGAACAAAATGGTTGGGTTTGAAGGGCCCGCCTCTCCTACAGATCTTCAATCACACGTACCAACCACAGCCGCATTGATTCCCTAGGCACCTAATTCTTTACGCTGTCAATCTATCAGCACCGCACTGCACCCACCTGGGTTGGCTCGCTTCTCCTCCTCCAGAATCCCAGCCACATATCTGGCAGCAGCATCGATGCCCTTCACGTCGTCCCGTGCACTTGCGTCCAGCCCGAACAGGTCGAACCCTGGTGGGGTGGGATGAGCGTGGTGTGACGCATGAGGGGAGACGAGGCGAGATGAGATAAGAGACGTCTCAAACCAAAATTTCTTTCACAGTGGCCTTCATGTCGACCCGTGCACTCGCATCAAGACCAAACAAGTCGAGCCCTGGTGGGACACGGGTGGTGTGATGTGACACATGATGGGAGTTGAAGCGAGATGAGGCGAGACAAGGAGAGATGAGGCGAGACGAGGCGAGACGAGGCGAGATGAGGAGAGATGAAGCAAGGTCAGGAGAGATGAGACGAGATGAGGCGAGACGAGGAGAGATGAGGCGAGACGAGGCGAGATGAGGCGAGATGAGGAGAGATGAAGCAAGGTCAGGAGAGATGAGACGAGATGAGGCGAGATGATATAACGTGAATGCTCACATGAGGGACCACACTCACATGAAAAGCCATACACCCACAAAAGAGGCACGGCTTGTGAATACTCACATGAGGGGCATGGAAGGTGAATGAATACTCACATGAGGGGCATGGCATGCCGCCATTGATCGTGACAGAGGCGATGGGGGCGCTGGGGAGGATCCACTTGATCTGCAGATGCAGATCAACAAGAGGGGGAGGGATCGACAATGAACGAGAGGGAGGGATCGACAGAGGCGACAGAGGCGATGGGGGCGCTGGGGAGGATCCACTTGATCTGCAAGAGGGCAGAACCAGATGCACAATGAACGAGAAGGGAGGGATCGACAAGACAAGGGGGCAGAACCAGATGCACAACAGAAACGCACATGCATACCGACATGAGATTCGCATGGATGTGGGAGAATCAAATGCATGGGAAACATGCGCACATGTGACACATGTGCATGCACATACATGCGAGGCACGCCCATTGCCCATTGTCTCGCAGAAATCAGACCAGCCATAGCTGGTATCTCCAGCCTGTGCAGCCATATCACAGCTATACTGGGATGGGATAACTTCTGATACCTTTGGAAGGTGATTTCACGTACATGTGGGAGGTTAACTGTCTCGCAGAGATCGGACCATCCATAGCCGGTATCCCCCAGCCCGTGCAGCCACACCACCGTGGCCGCATGCTTCCCAGCCTTGGCTGGCAGCACTATGGTCTTTGCCGCTGGCGTGCCTGAGGAAAGTGGGGGTTGGGTCGGGGGTGCGTGGGGAGGGGAGGGGAAGGGAGGAAAAGGGAAAAGGCAAGTGAGGGAGAAGAACGGACAGCACGTAGTAGATCGAGGAGTTGGAGCAAGGCGGAATGGTTTGCGGCGCTCCAAAACAGGGGGAGTTGGAGGACACTGGAATGGCGACGGTTATGAGGTTCTACAGTGGCGTGCTGCAGACTAAGCGCACGGAAAAGGAAGCCTGGTAGACTAATGTGTAGTCGAGGAAAGAGAACGATGGAGTGGTTATAGGAAGGAGAGAAAGAGGGAGCGATGAGCGCAGCGAAGGGCTTGCTTGCCGAATGGCAACAGGTCGTCTGAAGGAGGTGTTGAAGGTCCCTGGTTCGGAGAACAGTGCTTGTCGGAGATCGGACAACGGTCATCCCTCGGACTGCTGCTGCTGCTGCTACTGCTGCTTCCATTGCTATCGGAAGCCATGACTCCTCCAACCGCAATCACGACGCCCACGGCGAGAAACAGCGAAACGAATAGAGCGACAGGAACAGGTTGTTTCGCGAACGCTTTCGCGAGGCTCGCACATGATCGGCCTGCGAGGGTACCTGACAGCGGGCTCATGGCGGCAGCAGCCTTCGCGACGAGCCGGGTCGAATGATATTGGTTCCTAGCGGGTGGAACAGTCGACACAGGTGGAGAATGGATCGTTCAATAAGCAGGGAAAAGGGAATGAGAACTGCGGAGAAGAAATGACTTGACATGTGCGAAGTCTGGCTTCGCATTGCGAATGTGATTATAATATGCAGCAGAGTTGACAAAACTACATAACTACAGACACTTTCGGTTACCGACTCGCGAAGTACCTGAACAATGTCAAGGATCCGGGAGCAGGAACGCGTTTATTGTCGGAACCCCGCGATTGGCGGGACAAAGGGAGCTGAGCACCTAGCAGATCAGAGCCCAGACCAGCTACGCTGGGAATCCCGCAAAGAGCGGCGGGAGCAACGCTAAGTAAGAGCTTGGATGAGCCTGACAGCGTAGCGAGCGAGGAGGAACAGGCAGCAGAGGTGGCTTTCGCGGAGATGGGGCTCCACGCAGCCATTCAACGGTGCTGGGAAGCAGATATTCCCTTGAGACAGCTGCCTGTGCTCTGCTGCTGTTAGTGAATTCTAGGGAGGGCAAACGCCACTTGTGGGATGGGATGGGATTCTTTGCCCTTGGGGGTTGAACCGTACGGCGAATAGATGCACAGACTGACAAATGGAGAAGATGGATTCGATGGTTCTGGCATTCCCAAGGGAGCGTCAGCAACCGCAGCGGAACGGAAATAAGGGCGCGTGTGGTCTTTGAAATTTGTAAAAGTTTATGTTTTAAGGGCGAATTTTATTTTTGAACTTACAAAGAAAGAAGTTCGAATTTCCTTCTATCGAAGATCGAACATCGGGCTTACCACACTGTAAAAAATCACACACACATACAAGTTCGAACCCCGACATTCGAACTTGTAAAAACGAGCCGAGCCGCACGTCAACATCATAGGTTACCCGGTTCGCTCGTCTTGACAGTGCGCCACGTCAACATTTTGCGCCTCGGTTTACAAGGACCTAGAGCTCCAACTCACCTTCCGCGCCGAGTGTGTAACCAGGGTACAAATAGCCCCCGTGGCAACACCAAGGGCGGTAGTTTCTTTGACTGACGTCAAGACGGGCGGGACGCGTTGCCACATCGTGCTCGAACGTGCCACGATGCTGGACACGTGGCTACCACTCTGTGCACGAATTGTGGGGTGTCTTCGTTGTGCAACTTCATGCACTGGCGAAGCGCTCGCCCGTTTTGTCAGCTGTTCGGACGTGCTGCAAATCACACACGCTCGCATGAACGTGCGCACGCACGTTCCCGCCTCCGACTCGAGTCAAGTTCATATTTCAAACTCGAACTTTTGCAGAGCCCATACAATGCTTGGTTCGCGAAGCACCCTTCGCGAAATTAGCGAATAGGGTAACCACCCAAAGTTGAAACTTTATTTTGAACTTCTAAACAGACCACACACGCCCAGCAGTGGGGGAGCGGAAACACACTTCTGCGCAGGAGCACGCGCTGGGGGAGACAAGACACACTTTCCGACAGGCACACTTTTGGCAGGATGAGTTGGAATCTGGGGGAATGGCGCTTCAGCAAAGTTGCGCGGCTCGTTGGGGGAATCTGCGATGTGGTTGTCCTTGGGCGGTGAGCAGCAGAATGCGGGCAGAGGGGGAAAACCCGAAGAAAATGTAGGGCGGAGACGGTTCGAGTTTGTTTTTGGGTCTGGCCAATCTCGGTCTGATTCGTTACAAAACGTCAAAACTGATCATCTGCACCAGTGAATCAACCAAGAAAAATGATATATCCATTTACACGTACAAGTTCACAAACTAGGAGCAGTGGTTAACTCATCCAGAGCAAGAACAGCAACACCGGATTTCCAAGGCTGGAATGGCAGAGCCTCTACTTGGTGGAGAGCAGTCGCCCGCAAGTCAAAGTGCAGAGCGAGTGCAACTAGAACGGATCTCAAGAATTCATCCTTCGTTGAGTAATATTGACAAAGTTTGGTGATAAACTGATCATGGGAGCGCCCCTGCAAAAGAGATGTTGAATGAGACCAGAGGAAGTGATTATAGACGAGAATATACTGCTCTTGAAAAGCCCAAACGCCATGATAAGCGGATAATTGCTAGATGGATTGAGCACATCCTTCACCATACAGTCACACGACATACCACACTCACATGCCTCAATTCACCAAACCCTCTCGGTCCAGGCACTGTTGGTTGCACAGAAAAGCAGTCAAACCGAGATTTCATTCATACCCCATATTAAAACGATATGCCACAGACTCACCTGTCTGTACTCAGGAGCACGCGAGGGCTGCTGCAGCAGCGCCATGCGGTGCGAGCAGAAGTCCCAGAGGAACGACGTGTGGTGCAGAAAGCTGCTGCCCATGATGCTCTGCGCGTTGCCGCCCACCTTGAGATCTCCCACCACGTAGTCTGATGACGTGGCACAGTGATGATGCAGGGAGGTTGGGATTGGGGTATATTGAGGTTGGCCCACGGGGCAGGGCACATAGTCTGATGACGTGGCAAAGCGTTATTGCAGGGGGGTCAGGGTTGGGGCACGGGGCATGGCGGTGGTTTTTCTTTTTGTCCCTATGTCGCTGTGCTTGATTCACATACCAATGTTCTTCAAAGCAAGGGCCGCATGGAAACGCCTCAAAATGTTGTCACCATTATCCCTCTCACCCTCCTTCTCACCATAATCCCTCAGGGCGAATCCCGGAACATTTGTCATGGCCGGTCCCAGCAGTCCCTCCGTCCATTCCATTATGACTTTGAGCCAGACTAAAAAGTCATCTCGCAACACACACCATCGTCCCTCTCACCATTATCTCTAAGTGCGAATCCCGGAACATTTGTCATGGCCGGCCCCAGCAGCCCCTCCGTCCATTCCATTATGGGCCGAGGGTACAGTGGCAGGTCCGGCACCGCCGCGCGCCGGCAGATCAGGCTCGTCAGCACCGAGCCTGAGTCCAGCACCACCGTACCTCCGCCGCTGAACCGGCGGACCACCGGCACCCGAGCCTCAAGGACAGCCTCGGTGTGAAGCAGTTCGTGCGGCTTGCTGGTGTGGGGAGGAGCGTGAGGGTGGAAGGGGAGGAGGGGGAAGGAGGGGGGAGGAAGGGGAAGTGGGAGGTTGTGAGGAGATGGGGGAGAAGAAGAATCAAGGAATCCTTCAAGGTAAGGGGGGGTGGGCGAGGTTTGAGAGGGGTGAGGGGAAGGGGAAAAGTAAAAGATTATTCATGACGCTTGCTTGGTGAAAACAGATTAGAACACAACAGGAGAGAGAACCGGAGAGGACAAGAGGTAGCGTTAGGAAAGGAAAGAGGCGAGGAGGAAAGACGTAGGACAAGGGAGTGCAAGAGGGGACAAGGGGCAGAGATGTACAGCAGAAAACGAGGAAATGACTTACCAGGAGACGATGTGACAGCTGGAGGCGATGTGATAGCTGGAGACAAGAGAATTGCTCACCCTGAAATCCCCATCACGATGGTCGGCGCTGCCACGTCAGCATTGAAGACGAACCAGTTGCTGTTTGTCGGGTCGCTTCTGAGAAGCTTCTCCTCCAGCCGCAGCTGCGCCTCCACGTCCATCCCGTCCGCGCGCACCACGCGCACCACCGCGCGTGCGCCGCCTCCCCCCGCCGCGCGCGCGGTGATTCCTCCTATGGTTCGTGTGCCGCTTCCCCCTACCGCCGGCGCATTTGCCCCCCCTGATCGCGCACTGCTTCCCGCTGCCCCTAGGCCGCTTCTCCCTACCGCTTGCGCACCGCTTTCCCCACCTTGCGCCGCGCTTCCCCCTACTGGCGCTGCCATCACGGGGGACGCAGGCGAAGCTAACGATGCTGGCGACATTGGCGATGTTGGCGACGACACTAACGTGCGACGCCATGCGAAGGCTTCAGCAACGAGTGCAGAGACGACAGGCGTGCGATCGACGGTGGAGATCTTCCCCACCCGCCGTGCTATGCGGGCAGCCATTCCGAAACGATCAATACGAGTGGTATCCTCAAAGGGTTTATGAAGTGTCGCAAGACTTCGCAGGACTTCGTTACACCTCGGAATGTCGTTCAGCGAGCATGGATCGTGGCGGCTAGAAAGAAAGAAGGGGCTTTGAGATGGAAAGGCCGTTGAAGGAAACACCCGTCAGCGCACCGCATCACTTGCCAACGCGAGAGATATCTGAGCCCGTGAAATGAAGGATGGGACAAAGAGGTAGCATAAGGAACAGTGACAGTGCCAGAGAGCAAAAGGATCCCGCCAACCGGATTCGAACCAGTGACCTAAGGATTGCTAAACTACAGTCCTCCGCTCTACCAACTGAGCTATAGCAGGATGTCCACGGTACCAAAACATTACAAAATTGTATGTTTTACATTTGTCGGTCCTGGTGTCCCCTTGCTGCTGGTACTGTCACCTCCCGTGTTCCACTTGCTCGCCCTGCCATGTATGCATCAGACTGCGCCCTTCGGTCGCTGCTGTGTCGTCTCCCGTCAGCGGCAGTCAACAGCAGTCAACGACCATCGCATCCGTTGACTCCTCGTTCTCGTGAATCCAAGTCCAGAGACTCTCCTCCCCTTCTCGCGTTGACCAGCCGTCAAACAAGGTCAACGGCAGTCAACAGCGGTCAAGGATCCGTGCATCCGCGCTCTTGGACTCCCCTCTCGCACAGGTTAGCTGAGTTCAACACTGGTCAACGCGAGCACCCAGGCTCCTTGACTAGTAATTCTCACAGATCTGCACCGATCTCTGTCACAGTTGGTCTCACAAGCTGGCCATCCCATGCTGCTAGTGTCGCAGATGTTCGCACGAGCAGACGATCGCGTGCAATCCGTGCCGCTGATTTCCGCCCAAGGAGCCATGTTCGCGCGGATGGTACTAGGGGGAGAAACGTGCGCACGGAGGCAGGGGGGGAAAGTCTGGAGGGCAGCACTCGCGGAAGCGCTCGCGGAGGGGTACGGATTGAGGAGACGGCGGAAGGATCGGGGGAGATGAGCCTGCGGAAGATAGAGATCGCGCGGGCGGCTTTGGCGGTGGTTTTAGTGCAGGACGAAGGGTTTAGCGAAGACCATGCGAAGGCTGTGGCGAGAAACGTAACGGGTTTCGCGCAGTTTGTGTTAGAGCGTGATGCTGACGAACAGGGGGCGGCTGAGCTTGAGAGAAAGCTCATACGCTCAGGGCTTGAACCAAGAACACCTGAAGGCACACCTGAAGGATTGCATGAAATCACATCTGAAGTCACACCTGGGGTTAAGACTGAGGGCAGAGCAGACCATCCGTCAGTTGTGGATCTCCCTTCACTATTAGAACAACCAGCTGGCAGCCCCAAACCCTCGAGCAGGGTTGAGGGTTTAGGCGGGAATAAAGGGGAGGCGCAGGGTGAGAGGGAGTGGCAGGGGGAGGAGGCGGGGGAAAAGGAGGGAGAGGGTGAGGGGGAGGAGGAGCTGTTCTTGCGGCTGGTGGATATGCTGAGGGGGAGTAGGCGGACGGAGGGGGGAGGGCAAGGCGACGAGGGCTATAACGCGCAGCGGCAGCAGCAGCAAGGGGGAAAAAGTGCGCAGTGGCAGGCGGGGGAAGGGGGAGGGCGCGGGGAAGCAGCAGAGCGGGCGGTGGGAGGGGAAGGGGGAGTGAGTGGGGAGGCAGCGGAATGGGTGGTGGCGGCAGTGGCGGAGAGTGTGGGGGTGGCGTGGGGGAGAGCGCGGCAGGTGGCGCGTGTGTGTGGGGGAGTGCGAGCGAGGAGAGTGTGGGAGAAGATTGCTCTTCTCAGGAGCCTTCTCAACGCTGCCCCTGTAAAGACCACCCAAGCCAGCAGTCTTAGCGAAAGTTTCCCTTCCGACACCCACAGCAGTCCCACCAATGGCAGTCTCACCAATGGCACTCCCACCAGTGGCACTCCCACCAGCAACACTCCTACCAGCAACAGCAACCCTGTAATTACCACCAGTAGCACCAACCCTGTAATTAGCACCAGCAGCACCACCCCTGCCACTGCCATGCCAGCCAGCAACGGCAGGAGTGGTAGGAGCGAGGGGCGAGGGGATTCCTTGTGGGAAGCTGCTGGTGCTGGTAGTGCTGCTGTGGGCGATGAAAGAAGGGAAGGGGAAAGAGGGGAGGAGGAGAGGGGTGAGAGGGGAGGGAGAGAAGAGGAGGATAGAGGGCATGATAGTGGGGGAAAGGGGGAAGGGAGAGGGTTCGGAGTGGCTCCTGTTGGGCCGTTGATTCAGCGTGCGATCGGACGGCTGGCAGTGATCGCGAGGGATGATGATGTGCTGCTGCAGAAGTCTCTGGGCTTTTTCCAAAAGGTGCCTTATGGTTTGGAATGGCTCCTCTAGGATTTAGGGTTCGCACCATTTCGTAACAAGGTGACTTCCTCTGGTTTACGCGTGAGGGGTTTGGGTTGGGGTTTAACGTTTCAGGTTTCATTGAATCGTTTCGGCTGTCCCGTTTGGGTGTCATTCGCGTGTTTTGCGGAATGGTGGTTTCATTCGTCTCTTTCTGTCTCCTTCACTCCCCCCTCCCCTTTCTCCCCCTCCCTGCCCCCACCCTCCCTGCACTCTCAACCTCGCACTTTCTCCCTCTGCTCTCCTTTCACACCCCACTCTCACGTGCTTCACGTGTCTCCCCTTTACCTCTTCTCTCTCCCCCCCACCTCCCCCCCCCCTCCCCCTTCCCCAGCTGGCAGCGCAGCGACGTGGAGTCGCGCTATTGGACGACCCTTCCACTGCTCTGCCGGCGCTCGTTGCCGGTTTTCCGGAATTTCTGGCGTGGGAGGAGGAATCTTTTGAGTCGACTCAAAAGTCAACTCTGGCGTGGGAGGAGGAATCTGATGCGTCTGGCAATGTGGATGGGGAGGCTTTTGAGGCGCCTCAAAAGGAATCTGATGCGTCTGGCAATGTGGATGGGGAGGATTGTCTAGAGGCAGATGGAGAGAAGGTGGAGGAGGGAGAGGGGTTGCTGGTCAAGGGAAGGCAGGAACAAGTGAAGGGAGCGCTAGCAAGAGAGGGTAGTGAGGGGAATGTTGTGAGAGAGGGTGTAGATGGGGGGAAGGGGGCTGATGAGGAGGAAGGAGAGGGCAGCAGCACCAGCACCAGAAGCACTAGCACCACAAGTGTCAGCAGCAGCAGCAGCAGCAGCAGCAGCAGCAGCAGCAGCAGCAGCAGCAGCAGCACCGGCAGCGCCACCACCAGCAGCAAGCGAGGCGAGCAGCAGCAGCAGCAGCAGCATCACCACGAGCAGCTACCGCCAGTGCTGCGTTTCCTCGCCCTGCACTGGGGCGTGAACCTCCCCACTCTGCGCCGCCTCCTCCTCTGCCACCCCGCCCTCGCCCTCCACGTGCCCCCCCGCTCCTCCTCCTCTCGCCCTTCCTCCTCCCAACGCCTCGCTTTGCCCCGTGCTGCTGCCAGTCGGACAGGAAACGGGAGGAAGAAGGAGAGGGAGGAGAGGAGCCGGGTGAGGGGGGAGAGGAACCGGGCAGCCGTTTTGGAACGAGAATCAGAGTCAGCGACTTTTGAGACGTCAGTGTCGTCAGAGTCAGCGACTTTTGAGACGTCTCAAAAGTTGGAACGAGAATCAGAGTTGGAACGAGAATCAGAGTTGGCACGAGAATCAGAGTTGGAACGAGAATCATCAGAGTCAGGAGCGGAATCGTTAGCAGCAGAGATCGAGTCAGTGTCGGGCGTGGATGTGACATCAAGGAGAGAGTGCGAGGCTGAGATTGAGGCACAGATGCTGGCATGCAAGCGCCAACTGAAGCAGGTGTGTTTGCCCATTCACGCCCTTACCTTCCCTGCTCGTAACTTGAATTTGGAAGAAAAGTTAGAGTGGATGTCAGGCGTAGAGTGGGCAGGAAGGAGAGAGTGGGAGGCTGAGATCAATGCACAGATGCTGGCATGCAAGCGCCAACTGAAGCAGGTGTGTGTTTGCCCCATTCACCCTCCAAGCTTCTCTACTCTTTGAGTTCTGCCTCTCGTCCTCAATTGATTCTTCTCCAGTGCCCTCTGTTTTGTCCCCTGTGCCGTTTCGGTAAAACCCCATCCACCACCTCCCCATCTGCTGTCTGCTTTCAATCCCCCTCGCCGTCACAGCTGGGAGTGCGCGTGCGGGACCTGCCTCTAATAATCAACCGCTTCCCCCCAGTGCTCTCTGCCTAACCGCACTTTGTCTCTTCCCCCATACCCACCGTCTCTGCTCTGTGCTCCCTCCAATACAACACCCCTCGCCGTCACAGCTGGGAGTGCGCGTGCGGGACCTGCCTCTAATAATCAACCGCTTCCCCCCAGTGCTCTCCCCGTCGGTCTTCCTCAACGCACCAGTGGTCGCCGATGCCGTCACCAACACTCTCAAGGTGCGCTGCGCTGTGCTCACCTGCATGTGCTGTGCTGCCCGGCCCGATGCTGCTGCGCGCCTGTGCCACTAGTGCAGTGAAGACCTGCCCACTTCTTCCCCGTCGGTCTTCCTCAACGCACCAGTGGTCGCCGATGCCGTCACCAACGCTCTCAAGGTGCGCTGCGCTGTGCTGACCTGTGCTGGCCAGGCGCCTGTGCTGCTGCTGCTGGCCTGTGCTGCTGCTGCTGGTCTGTGCTGCTGCTGCTGGCCTGTGCTGCTGCCAGCCAGCACTAGCCCAGGTAGCTCGGAGTGCTCCCTCACCCAAAAGTCAAAAGTCTGCATCCGCCCTCACCATTCGAAATGCGAACATTAATTTGGGCAATTGAGCTTCTCAGACCCTCCCGCCCACCTCTCCCTTACCTCCTCAACCACCTTCTCTTCTCACCACCACCTCCCCACTCCCTTTCCCCTACTCCTCAATCCCATCCCTCCTCCCCTTCTCCCCCTTCCCCAGGTGCCAATCAGCAAGGTTGACCGATGCTCACACGCTGCCCCAAGCTGCTCTCGCGTCTTAGTGCTCGATACACCAAACATCCCAATCCACCCTACACCCCTCTCACCTCCCCTTCCCCTCCTCTTCCCTCTTCCAGGTGCCAATCAGCAAGGTCGACCCGATGCTCACGCGCTGCCCCGAGCTGCTGTCTCTCACTCCGACCAACAGCATCGCGCCAGCTGGCGTGTTCCTACAGGCCGTGGGGCTGACGCGCGGGGAGATGGTGCGCGTGCTCTCTGCCAGCCCGTCGCTGCTGTGCCGGCCCAGGCACCAACTGGGGGAGGTGGGTCTGATAGAAGAGATGGGGGAGGTGGGTCTGTTCTGTTGAGATGAAGAGGAAACAGTGCTTAACCGAGAAAGGTTCACCACCACAGCAACCAACCTGTATTCCTCACGGATCAACTCATCTTTTCCCGCTCACTACCCCCTTCCCCCACCCCTCACACTCAGTCATTAGACTGGTTCAGCCAGTCACTAGACTGCTGCAGGGGCATCTCGCCATCCCTTTTCACGAGCTGCCGCACCTCATCTTCCGCTGCCCAGGCCTGCTGTGCCTCTCTCACCCTTCCTGCTGCAAGGCAAGGCAGTGTTCCTCACACACCAAGCACTTTTCCCCCACCCAACCCCATTTCACCCCCCCCCTTTTCAGTCACTGGATTGGCTACAAGAGAACCTCGCCATCCCGTCCCACGAGCTAGCCCACCTTGTGTTTCGCTGCCCCGGCCTGCTGTGCCTGTCGCCCGCGGTGCTGCACGGCAAGGCTGCCTTCCTCACGGGGGAGGTGGGCGTGGTGGCAGCAGAGGAGGTAGCGCGCGTGGTGTGCCGCTTGCCTGAAGTTCTCACCATGAGTGTCAATTCTATGCGGAACAGGTGAGGAGTGTGCATTGCAGGGCGATGAGGTGACTTTTGAGTCGACTCAAAAGTCACCTCGAACAGGTGAGGAGTGTGCTGTGCAGGGCGATGAGGTCAATTGAACCCGGATGGGGTGTATGGGAAGAGGACCAGGTACCTTCCTCTCCCTTCCTCCGTCTCTCCTTACCTCCTCCCATCCTACCCCTTGAGTGTTGAGCCTTCTCACATATTGAGTCGACTAGAAAATACGCCTGCGCTGAGCCTTCTTTCTCCTCTCCCACTCTTCTCTTTCCATCCACCACCCCTTCTCCACGTGTCAGGATCTCCTTCCTCTACTCCCGAGGCTTCTCCCGTGCTGACGTGGCAGCCATGGTGGTTCGGTACCCACCGCTCCTGGGCTACAGTGTTGCTGCGGTGCTTCGGCCGAAGCTGGACTTCTGGCTCGAGGAGGAGGAAAAGGGGGTGGAGAAGAGCGATGAAGGCACCCGCACCAGCGTCACCAGCAGCACCGGCAGCACCGGCAGCACTGGCAGCACCGGCAGCAGCAGCACAAGCAGTACGAGCAGCACGAGCAGCAGCTACTACCCGCGCTCGCGCTCCGACCTGGTGCTCTTCCCCAAGCTCTTCAGCTACTCCCTCGACTCCCGCATCCGCCGCCGCCTCCGTGTGCTGGCCAGTCGCGGCCCGCCACGTGGCAACAACTCCAGCAGCAGCAGCAGCACCACCACCACTGCCAGGCAGAGAAGCAGGGAGCAGAATCTGAGGCAACGGGAGCTGGTGTATCTGCTGAGCTGTCCTGAAGAGAAGTTTGCCGCCCAGGTGCTCGGACTCAACTTCATGCTTGTGCCCCTGCGCGCGCCCCAGGCCTCTGCTGTTACTGCAGGTGCACCAGCAAGTGATGGTGGTGCTAGTGGTGGTGGCGGGGTCGGTGGTGTGAGCGGTGGTGCTGCAGCTGCTGCTGTGGGTGCAGCGTCAGGTACTGGCCTTGGTGGTGGTGATGGTGATGGTGGTGGTGGTGGCGATGGTGATGGTGGTGGTGGTGGCAGTGGTGGTCCTAGTGGTACTGCTGCTGCTGCCTTGCCGGCTCCAACTAGTGGTGATCAAGCTGCAAGGCGTGTTCAAGGAACTGGCGCCACCCGTCCAGATTCGCGTAAAAGGTTTCCTGCAGAAGCAGGTGTTTTGGAAAGAGAAGCCCCCTCTGGCGGAGCTTCCCTTGCCTCTGTGGCTGCCAGGTCAGCAGAACCCACTGCCAGGTCACCTGCCACTGGTGCCAGGTCAGCAGCCACCTGGGGATCAAGGAGAGATGCCATGGACCCACCAGTATTACCAGGAGAGGAGAAGATCTCTCAGGAAGGGCGAAACTTTTCGGCTAGAAGAGCTGATTATTCACCTGATGCCAGCCGTGGTTCACCGGAAGGTAAGGTGGTATCGTCTGTTCCTATGAGGAGAAAAATGCCTGAAGCAGCGTCTCGGAACATGGGACTGGATGGTAGTTCGGCAGGGATTTTGGATAGAAAGGGAAGGAGGGACGGAAGTGGGGGCAAGGGTGATACATTAGGGTCGAGAGGGGAAGATGAGTGGAAGAATCTTGAGGAGTTGTTTTTAACCGAGGAGGAAGAGGAGTTTGGGAGGATTAGGGGAGGCAGGAAAGGGAGGAAAGGGAAGAAAAGGCAGTAAAGATTATGTGTCATGATCGTTGATGTAGTATAAAAAGTCCATAACAAGCTTCATGCGGTGCATAAGAGTTGCTGCTCAGTGATTTGACGTTGTTCCTATGAACTAGTTGAGAGAATTTTGCAGCAACACATCAAGATGGTGTGGGAGGTGAGGGGAAGGGAGTTTTCCTCCCCAGAGGTTTGTAGATTGAATATAAGAAGTAATATCGACTTCAGAATACCGTACCTGTAAATCGACTGTAATGCGGACATGTTTCGCTGTGCAGAACTGCGTCGCAGCGTGCGACATGTGCTTTGCTTTTGGCTGTCGTGCACTGTGTCGTGAGGGTCGTCACTATCGTCAGCGCGTCGCACCTAGTAGTCAGCGGCGCGGAGGTTTCTAGGTTAGTAATTTTCGGTGACGGTAGCAGTCCTAGTCATATAAACCAATGGCAGTTATAAACTAGTCTTTAGGCAGGGCCTATAGGCACGGAGTGCCATGGATAATACTGGTAGGAACATGGATGGCCACGTGGCACTCGATCCCCATTCCCATTGGTCCCTAGACGAACTTAACCGCGAGCTTGACTCAATCCAACGGCGCACAGGCCCAGTCCCCGCCAAGATCCGCCCGCGAAATGCGGCGCAGTATGCGGCGAAGGCCTCGCGCCGTCTCCAAACAGGATCAACAAGCACCGCCGTCGCCGCACCCGCCGCCTTCGGAGACGGCGCTTTTGGCGCTGTACCCTGCTGGGCATCCGAACTCGGAGACTCCGCGCGATCTCCGGCGCGACCCCCGGCGTGGATGACGGCCGGTCGAGGATCCGCGAGCAGCAGCGGCAGCAGCGACGAGGAGAGGGAGGAGTCAGCTTACGGCGGAGGGTTGGGCGGAAACTTCTATCCGTCTCCTAACGCGCGCGCGGAAACGGGTAGCGCGGGGAAGGACAGGCGGAAGAGCGCGGGGAGCGGCGGAAAGAAGCCGCGGAAAGCGTCGTTCCACATCAGCCTTAGCAGCAGCGACTCTAGCGGCTCGGACGGGGAGGGGGAGGTTGGGAATGGGGAACGGGTCGGCGGAGATGGGGGAAAGCGGAGGGGAAGTTTAGGCGGGAGGGGGAGTGCGCTGGACGCGGAGAGGCCAGTGGCGCGGCCTGTGAGGCGGGCGGAGGCGGAACTGGGGGAGGTGGAGCGGAAAGTAGCTGCTGAGGTGGAGGTACGCGCTTGGATATTGAAATGGGGTCGTGTGGTGGTGGTTTAGGTGCGACGTGTGCTAAAGCTTCTGGAGGAGGCTGAACTGGGGGAGGCGGAACTGGGGGAGGCGGAACTGGGGGAGGCGGAACTGGGGGAGGCGGAACGGGGGGAGGTGGAACCGGGGGAGGTGGTACTGGGAGAGGTGGAACTGGGGGAGGTGGAACTGGGGGAGGTGGAACTGGGGGAGGTGGAACTGGGGGAGGTGGAACTGGGGGAGGTGGAACTGGGGGAGGTGGAACCGGGGGAGGTGGAAGGGAAGGTCGCTGCTGAGGTGGAGGTACGTGCCTGGATATTGAAATGGGGTCGTGCTCTGCTCTGCTTTCCACGAGCATTCTTCTGCCCTCCCCCCTCTCCCCCCCCACCACCCGCCTCTCCCTCACGTCGTGGCAGGAGGAGGTGAGGCAGCGGCGGGTGCGGCTGGAGGGGAGGCTGATGGAGGAGCGGGAGAAGGGGCGGGCAGCCGTAGCTGCGGTGGAGGCACAGCGAGAGGCGGTGCAGGCCACACTGGCTCGGCTAGATAGGGAGCACTGGCAGGCCGTGTAAGCTCAAGAAAGGGTGTGGGTGTGCGGTAGGTGTGTATATGTGACTAATGAGGGAGAGTGTTTAGGGATGTGTGCGGGAGGCACAGCGAGAGGTGGTGCAGGCCACACTGGGAAGGCTTGATAGATGGAGAGTACTGGCAGGCTGTGTGAGTGGGGGACGGTGCGACTGATATGTGAGGGTGATTAGGACTGGGTGGGTCTGATGCCAATGGGAGGTGACGCTGGCTCAGCTTGATAGAGAGCACTGGCAGGCTGTGTGAGTGGGGTGAATGATGGCAAAGTGATGACTTTTGAGTCGACTCAAAAGTCACCTTGTGAGTGGGGGTGAATGATGGCAAAGTGATTGGGCGTGTGACTGACGTGCGGCAAAGGGTGGTGGGTGGGTGGATTGACGAGGTTGGGAGATTAGGCAGGTTGAAAAATAGTGTTTCATTATTTTATCTTGTTGTATCTATGTGTGTTTGTGTGCGTGGTTAAATGTATGCATATGTGCATGTGTGATCATGTGTGCAAGTGTGTACATGTGCATGTGTGTGTATGTGTGTGTGTGTGTGTGTGTGTGTGTGTGTGTGTGTGTGTGTGTGTGTGTGTGTGTGTGTGTGTGTATGTGTGTGTGTGTGTACACGTGTGTATGTGTGTATGTGTGCATTGGTGAATGGGTGTGTGCATGTAAACAGAGAAGAGATGAGGGATTCTCACATCCGTCGGCTGTCTCAGGAGCACGAGCAGAAATCGGAGGTCAGTAGTAACCAGATGTTACTGGTAACCACAATTTAGTGGCAACCAGGAAACAATGGTAACCAAAAGTTAGTGTTAACCGGACTTCAATCAGTGGCACCAGAGTTCGATGGTAACCAGGCAATACTAGAGGTTAGATTCTCCCTCTCATCTCATCTCCTTCCACCTTTTCACCGTTTCACTGGAATCTGGGGAGCCGCAGCTTCTGAGATGGCTGAAGAAGAGGTAAAATCCCTCTTTAAGACGACTCTAAAGTCGAGGTTATATAATAATTCTTCCTTCTCATCTCCTTGCACCTGTTCATTCGTTTCACTGCAGGCTGGGGAGTCGCAGCTTCGGAGAGAGGCGGCGGCGGCAGAGGCTCGGCGCCGAGCCGAGATCGAAGCTGAGCTTCGGGCAAAGCAGCAGAGGGAGATGGAGGAGGAGAGGAGGAGGAAGGAGGAGGAGAGAAGAAGGAAGGAGGAGGAGGAGAGGAGGAAGGAGGAGGAGCGGAAGAGGGAGGTGCAGAGGCAGCAGCAGGAGGTGGAGGCGAGCAGGAGAGCAGCCCAGGCAGCAAAAGCAGCTGCTGATGCAGCCGATGCAAGAGCAGCAGCAGAGGTGGGTTGGGTTGGGTTGGGTTGAGGTGTGGAGCGCTGAGCCAAGGCAGCAGCAGGAGGTGGAGTCGAGCAGAAGGGCAGCCCAGGCGGCAAAAGCAGCTGCTGATGCAGCAGACGCGAGAGCAGCAGCAGAGGTGCGTAGGGCTGGGTGGGTTGGCCTGGGTTGAGTTGGGTTGTGCGGGGTTTGGCTGAGGTGCTAGACTAAAGAGCTGAGCCGAGACAGCAGCAGCAGGAGGTGGAGTCGAGCAGAAGGGCAGCCCAGGCGGCAAAAGCAGCTGCTGATGCAACAGACGCGAGAGCAGCAGCAGAGGTGCGTAGGGCTGGGTGGGTTGGCCTGGGTTGAGTTGGGTTGTGCGGGGTTTGGCTGAGGTGCTAGACTAAAGAGCTGAGCCGAGACAGCAGCAGCAGGAGGTGGAGGCGAGCAGAAGGGCAGCCCAGGCGGCAAAAGCAGCTGCTGATGCAGCAGACGCGAGAGCAGCAGCAGTGGTGGGAAATTTGAGGGAATCTGATGGCAGCAATGTTGCAACATTTTTGGGGGAAGGGTAGGGTGGGGTGGGTTGTGTGATCGTATGTGTGTGTGGTCTTGCTCTTTGCTCCTTGTTCCTTGTTCGTATTTATGTGTGCTTGCGCTCTTTTACTTGGTGTAACTTCGTTCACTTGGCTGGAAATTATACATCCACCCATCCCTCCTTCTGCTCCTCACTTTCCTTGTTCCAGGCGAAAGCAGCAGCAGTTGCAGAAGCAAAAAAGAGGCAAGGTGAGGGGGACGAAAAGGGGGGTGAGTGTGCAGTGGTGACATACGGTGATGAGGGGTGATGATGGGGCATGTCAGCGAAAAGCGATGATGGGAGGAGCAAGCCAGTGATACAAGTCCACAAGGGAATGCATTCCAAAAGGAAATCGAGCATTCTATTGGAGAAGTCCAAAGACGAGTCGAGTCGAGTCGAGTCGGGTCGGGTCGGGTCGGGTCGGGTCGGGTCGGGTCGGGTCGGATCGGGTCGGGTCGTGTCGAGTCGAGTCGAGTCGAGTCGAGTCGAGTCGGGTCGGGTCGGGTCGGGTCGAGTCGACAATTCTGGCGCCCTAATACAGCATTTGTGTTGCTTGCCTGTCCCTCATCACACCGTCCACACCATTCACTCCTCTCTGGTTCGTTTTGAAGAAAAAATAATGTAGTAATTATTATCACTAATAATTGTAATAATATTAATAATAATAGGAATATTAGTAAAATCGCTCACTCATTTCTCCTGCCCTCCCCTACATGCTTTCCCCTAGCAGCACAGAGGAGTTCCAAAGTGCAAGTGGCAGAAGGGGCAGCAAAGGAGGCGGAGGCCAGGCTGACACAGCTGAAGGCGATCTCCTTTCCCCATTCCCTCTATTTCCTCCCAACGCTCCAATCAAGCAGTGCAGAGAAGTTCCAAAGTGTGAGTGGCAAAAGGGGACAGCGAAGGTTTCTGATTCAACCGAAACAACACTCCCTTCCCACTCCCTCTTTCCTCCCTCCAATGCTCCCATGAAGCAGCGCAGAGGAGTTCCAAAGTGCGAGTGGCAGAAGGGGCGGCGAAGGAGGCGGAGGCCAGGCTGGCACGGCTGAAGGCGATGCGCGATGAGATCGCTCCCATCATGGCTGATAATGCGCGGAAGAAGGTGAGAACAGGGCGAATGCATAGGCTCCTCTGTCCTTGCGTTGTTGCGCTGCAATGCAATGCACCAAGCTGCATCACATCGCATCAGACCACATGTCACCATGATTGATCTCGTCCCTCTGCATTGGATCCTCCTTGAGTCAAACTGCATCTCATTGCAGCGCACACATTGCATCGGACTACATGCAACCGCATCCCACTCCGTCCGACCGCATTGCACTGCAGGACCGCAAGACTGTGGAGCGGCGAATCATTCTGCTGGTTCAGCAGATTTCAGCCACGCATGACCAAATCGCGTAAGAAGTGATGTGGCTTCGCCCAACATGATGTGGAATGACGCAGCAAGATGCGGCATGAGGGACACACACATACATTTATTTCTGAGTCGACTCAAAAGAATGATGCAGCAAGATGCGGCATGAGGGACACACACATACATTTATTTCTTTGTGTGCGTGCGTGCGTGCGTGCGTGCAAGCGTGTGTTGTGTTATCCATATTTTAATGAAGCAGTAGGAGACTCGTCTCTAGGCTCCTTCTATTCGGTCCACTCTGGACCAAGAGTGGGTAGTCATGGCTGGCTGGCTGTCTAGCTTGCAAAGTGCACCGTTTCTCAATTATCGTAATCACGTTAATCAGGTGCTTCACAAATGAAAGAAACAGAATGTGTCCAGTCATCCGCCTCCCATTGTTCCTTCACTGCTCTGTGCTCTTAATGATGGATGCCTTGAATAAGTTATTTTCTCCCCTTGAAAGACTATTTGTTTTGAGACGTCTCAAAGCAGGTCTCCTTTCGTATGTGTCTAGCTAGTCTAGTCATCCGCCTCCCAATGTTCCTTCGCTGGTCTCTGCTCTTCATTTATGTGTGCCTTGGCTGGTTTTTCTTCTCCCCTTTTTCTGCAACCAATCACACAGCAAAAAGTCTGCCGATCTCACGGCTCTCTTGCGGGACCCATCCCTTCCCCAGACGTTCGTCGCAATTACCTTCGCCTCCAAGGTATGTTGCTCACTTCACTCTCTTTATACATGTGAAGTAAGATGTCTGCTGGTCTTACAGCTCTTCTGCGGGACCCATCCCTTCCCCAGACGTTCGTCGCAATTACCTTCGCCTCCAAGGTATGTTGCTCACTTCACTCTCTTTATACATGTGAAGTAAGATGTCTGCTGGTCTTACAGCTCTTCTGTGGGACCCATCCCTTCCCCAGACGTTCGTCGCAATTACCTTCGCCTCCAAGGTATGTTGCTCACTTCACTCTCTTTATACATGTGAAGTAAGATGTCTGCTGGTCTTACAGCTCTTCTGCGGGACCCATCCCTTCCCCAGACGTTCGTCGCAATCACCTTCGCCTCTAAGGTGCGTTGCTCACCTCACTCACTCTGAGAGCCACAACTTGTGTTGGCCCAGGCGCGTTGCTGAGATGATGCTTACTGAGTTGCCGTGCTGAACTGGCTTCTGCATGTGTTGGTGCGCTGACGTTGATTTTGAAATTTCTCAAAATCACTCCCCCCCCCCCCCCCCTCTTCCCTTTTTTTTTTTTTTTTTTTTGGTGTGTTGACTTTGAGACACTACATGCAAAAGCTAACCATTCTTTCATGGTCTCATCAGACACTCCCTTCTTTCATGCCGTATACCCCTCAAGCCAGATTCTATCGCAGTGCGAGTCCCAAGTTACCAAGTTACCGCCGTTCGCATTCGCTCTCGCGCAAGTCATAGTGAACGTGTCCTCTCAGGTATAAATCTATTTTCTTTTCTCTCTTCATAAAATGGCCTCTATTTTCAACTGCTTTTAGTTTCTCCAAAATGGCTGCCTCTTCTCTCCGCATTGCTTTTGCTCTCTCTTCCTGCTGCAGGCGCCCATAGCCATGGAGGCCTTGATGGCAAGCCTGAATGAGACCTGCATCTACACCGTTCCACAGCACTATGTCTTTTCCGAGGTATGCTCTTTGTATTCACTTGACTATGGCGCAATGTTCTTTTATTTCGTTGTTGCTACCCCTTTATAATAACCTTTCATTGTCATACCCTTGTTTATATCCCCTATTTGTTGCGGGACTGTTACCTATCGGATGATGCCTACTGCTGTGACCTTTTGAGTTGGCTCGTTTGAAGTCACGACGATGCCTATTACTGTGGCTTGGTGTACAGGGAGGAAGAGGAGGAGGGCAGAAAGGTCTCAAACCCCCATCTATTATCCCCCAGTTATTGTCCCCCCTATTTTATGCCCTTTTAATGATTGTCATTGCTAGGCCTCTTACCCCTCTGACGATGCCTATTATCGCAATTTGGGGCACAGGGAGGAAGGGGGGCAGGGCAGGGTGGGAAGAAGCTGATTGCTCCACCACTACCCGCCTGTATTCTCTCCTCCTCCCCCCTCCATGTTACCCCCACTACCCGCCTGTATTCTCTCCTCCTCCCACCTCCATGTTACCCCCACTTGTGGTGCAGGCCTCGTACACTTGTGATGATGCCTATTATCATGATTTGGGATACCGGGAGGAAGAGGGAGAGGGCGGAAAGAAGAAGATGGAGTCGACCGATGCGTTTATAGAGAGGATGACAGGATACATCACACTCATGGCTGCTATATGCCAGGTATGCTTATAGCGAGTATGGAGGGCGGAAAGAAGAAGATGGAGTCGACCGATGCGTTTATAGAGAGGATGACAGGATACATCACACTCATGGCTGCTATATGCCAGGTATGCTTATAGCGAGTATGGAGGGCGGAAAGAAGAAGATGGAGTCGACCGATGCGTTTATAGAGAGGATGACAGGATACATCACACTCATGGCTGCTATATGCCAGGTATGCTTATAGCGAGTATGGAGGGCGGAAAGAAGAAGATGGAGTCGACCGGTGCGTTTATAGAGAGGATGACAGGATACATCACACTCATGGCTGCTATATGCCAGGTATGCTTATAGCGAGTATGGAGGGCGGAAATAAGAAGATGGAGTCGACCGATGCGTTTATAGAGAGGATGACAGGATACATCACACTCATGGCTGCTATATGCCAGGTATGCTTATAGCGAGTATGGAGGGCGGAAAGAAGAAGATGGAGTCGACCGGTGCGTTTATAGAGAGGATGACAGGATACATCACACTCATGGCTGCTATATGCCAGGTATGCTTATAGCGAGTATGGAGGGCGGAAATAAGAAGATGGAGTCGACCGATGCGTTTATAGAGAGGATGACAGGATACATCACACTCATGGCTGCTATATGCCAGGTATGCTTATAGCGAGTATGGAGGGCGGAAAGAAGAAGATGGAGTCGACCGATGCGTTTATAGAGAGGATGACAGGATACATCACACTCACGGCTGCTATATGCCAGGTATGCTTATAGCGAGTATGGAGGGCGGAAAGAAGAAGATGGAGTCAACCGATGCGTTTATAGAGAGGATGACAGGATACATCACACTCATGGCTGCTATATGCCAGGTATGCTTATAGCGAGTATGGAGGGCGGAAAGAAGATGGAGTCGACCGATGCGTTTATAGAAAGGGATGACAGGATACATCGCACTCATGGCTGCTACATGCCAGGTATGCTTATAGCGAGTATGGAGGGCGGAAAGAAGAGGATGGAGTCGACTGATGCGTTTATGGAGAGTATAACAGGATACATCATTCTCATGGCTGCTATTTGCCAGGTATGACTCTAGCAGGAGTGATAGTCTACAATACACTCATGCTGTAAGCTCAACACACGTTTTTTTTTTACTCCCCTCTCTCCTCTGTGCCAGACCCTCCCACCACCTGGCACCGCAGTGCACCCCTTTGGCTTGTCCCATGCGTGGCAGTGGTGTGCTCGGCTACTGAACCACCTTCCGGCCAATCGAGCATCGGCCACCACTCTGGAAGTGTTTCTCAAGGTACATGTACAAATGACGCTATAATAAACAAGCATCGGTTTTTCCTCTGGTAGCATAAAAGTACACTTGAGAGTGCATCTAATATTTCTGCATGCATCTCTTCCCATTCCCACTAACCCTATCCTTCTCCACTACCCGGCAGATTGCTGGTTACCGCATGCACCTTACGTACCGCTCGCAGTTCCTGAAGCTGCTAAATGTGGTGGGAAACGAGTATAGGGGCAAGCTGCAGGCGCTGAACGATGCTGACGTGGCGCCGGTGGTTAACCGAATCGAGACATACGTTGGTGTGCAGAGGTATCTGAGGCCGCCTGAGGGGCTGGAGATGCCGCTGCATGATAAGTCGTCGCAACTCAGAGCATAGAAAGAAAAGGTGCCTGCCTAGGTAAGGCAAAAGTCTCTGCTAGCAGCATCAATAAAATAGTTCTACTTTACAATCAGCATTGCAGTGCAATGGCCCATGTTATGGTTATTCCCAGGTTTCCAAATGTTCACCCAGCCATGGTAGCAGTACTACTGTATAAATACAAGGGATACCATGCCATGCCATGCCATACCATGCCACGCCATGCAGACACGTGGGATATGAGAACGTTTTCTTATATTGATTGATGAGCCCAGCTTCCCGAGACGCAGAAAGAGGTTCAATGGCATGTGTCTGGGGCAAATCTTGAATACCAGCTGCCCCAACTTCCAGCTTCACACAACCAGCAGATGACACACCGGTAAGTGACGCCTCCAGGGTCTCAGGATCACACCCTGAAGCTTTGCACCCTGAATCTCATACTTGGTACCTAATGGCTTCTTGTGGAAGACTCCTCATGTTTCTTCACGAACTGCGCCAGCGCATACTTGAGCGCGTCTACAGTCACACCATCGTCTACAAGCACACTCGTTACACCCAGGGACCCGATCTCCCGCGTGTTCCTGGACTCATCATCAAAGAACAGCATGTCTCGGTACGCGATCCCAGTTCGCCTCCGGATCGCCTCGAAATGCTCCGTTTTGTGGGTCGAACTGGGGTAGATCTCAGCCGCTCGTACCACACGCTTTAACTCGATCGCATTACCATCGACATTGCTGCTGCTGCTGCTACTGTTTCTGCTGATGCTCCTTCCGCTCCCGTGCCCTCTGGAACTGCCGTATCCGCTGCTGAAGCTGCCACCGTCCTCCATCTGAAACCCTAATTTGTCCAGAAATACCCGGGCTATGTCCGGAGTCGGCGTACGCGACGCGAAGGCGATGGGTATCCCCGCAGCCGCGAGAGCCGATAGAACCTGACCCGCTTCTGGATACAAGCGCGGGCTGTCGCTCTTTCTCCTACATTCGCACCAAAAGGGCCATAGGGTGTAGTCTAGATCGAACACTACAAGTTTAGGGACCGGTTTGTCGGATTCTTGAAGCGTGTGGATGGCGGATAGGGCGGCGAGCTCGGCCGGGTCACGCAGTTCGCCTCCCTGAGGATCTTTCGCCCACACCATTGTTGCGATCGTCGATCGTGCGTTCGCAGAAAGGGTGTTCGCGAATCGTGCGTTGGCGAATTGCTCAATGGTGCTGGTCGTATGGACTCTGGATCTCTTGATCGACGAGCAGATAGTGGTAGGGTTATGTGGGCATGCTTGATAAGGGTCACTCGTGCAGACGATGCCGCCGATGTGCCGGCTGCCCTGCTCGAGAGAAGCGAGCAGGCTAGCACGCCTAGACAATGCCAGCGGGAAGCTAGTCGAGTTCCTAGGAACGGCTAGCATGGCATAGTTTGTGTCATGTGAGAACTCGAGAGAGCCAATACACCTCTAGTTACTTGTGAGGTCTGCTGGGATGGTTCTAGAGAGTGTTTGCGATTCCTTCTTTTGCTGTCAGTTATTTTTGTTGAAAAAATCGATAACAGACGATTTTCCACGAGTACGCTAATGGCGAGGATAGTGCATCACTTCGATCACGTGGAGTTGGGTCTCACGTTCTCTCGAGGTGTCTCCAACACGAGTCAAAAGCAGCCACGAAAAGTACGGGCCGCACGGTACAAGAGTGTCCACGAAACTATTATGTGGAATACTTTCGAGGGTTTTCTGAGCGATTTTATAACCACCGAAACCCCTACCAAGCGTCACTTCGTTGCCGGTCGGTGTGAAGTCCTGGAAGGAAACTTGCCCTGGTGTCACTTTGTGAATACCCTCGGTTATTGCTTTAGCTGGGAGCTTCGAATTACTTTCGCCTTGGCAGTTTTATCCACTTGGCTTCTCTGTCGTCTATTACCAGAAAATGGTTTCACTGTATCATTGCTTTGGCACTGCTTGCACCTCCAATTCCAAATCCGACGGACTACATTTGACGATCTGTCGCGTCTCGCCTTGTCAGCCCCACCTGAATGACCTGTTCTGGTTACGCGGAACCCCGGAGCCCAGATCCATCTCCCTCGCCTGCAATCCGCCGATTCCTCTTCCGCAGACACGATTTTTTCCACAGATCAGCTTGTTCCGCCGCCGACGTCCCGCGCACTGCGAGCGGGCGCTTCCATTTCCCCTCTGGTCGCTGGATGTTCACGCGCGAGGCGGGTGGGCTTCCGCTCGAAATAACCACTCTGCTTTCCGCGGAGCACCACCAGGGGGGAACTAGTGGAATCCCAAGGGCAAAGATTGTGGTTGTGTGGGTGCGGCTGTGCTGTGTGGCTCAAAACACGGAGGCCGCATCGCGGCAAGCTTTGGGATGGGACGCTCAGCATAGCATCTTATCGAGTTGCCTGTGGCTCGCTCACTACTCTCGAGGCAGAAACTTATGAAGCATTTTCATAGTTTCCAGTCTTGAGTCCAGACTTTAGTTCCAATTGTGAACTTGCGAGCCCGTAGCCCTCCATGATAAGGAAACGCGAGCAGCGCATTTGGTTTATTTCTTGCCGTAATCTCCCTAATAGAAGATCACGTTCCTCCATGTAGCGGTCTAGTAACCTCGCGTTTTCTTCCAGCCGAACGCAGCATACCCGTTACTTCAACACTAACCAGTCAAGCATTCACCCATGAAGTGTTTTGGACTAGGCGGATCATTCAACGCGCGCGATGATGACGGGGCAGGCGGAACAGTCTCCGCACCCACGTCCGCCTGTAGCACTCCCTCGGGTCATCCGCCTATCCGAAGCCGTTTCTTCAACTACCTCGGCTCTCCAACGCACCACCCGCAGAGCCTCACCTCCTCGCCTCGCGCGCCAATCGCTCCTACACTAAGCGACGTTCTCGCAGATGCTAGTATCGAGGATGAAAACCTGACCTGCTCCCCCTCGTCCCAAGCTCCCCCAGCATCCGCCGCGTCGCGCTTTCTCCAGAGGCAAGCCTCCGAGCCGTGTAACAACCAACCGCAGTGTGGCGATTCCCCTTCCCGAACCTCCAATTCTCCCCGCCAAAACGTGCCTCGGAGCCAGTCTGGGTCAGTGGCAGGGGTAACCACCCCGCCTTTGCCGCGAGTAGGTTCAGTTGGAGGCGGCTCGGTCGGAACAGCCGGGGAGGAGTCTGTAGAAGACGAGTTAGTTGTGGAAGGTAACGGTTCCGCGTTGGGGCGAAGGCAACGGAGAAGCTATGACGGCGGGTTAGGGTTAGGTAGCCCCGGCGGCGTGCGCGCGCCGTCGCCGCTCGGCGGGTCGCACGGAACGTCACCCGGCGACGGAGCAGGCTCTCCGTCGCCTGTTCGCCCCGCGTCTTCGCACGCACCCAGGCAGCAGTCGCAGCAGTCGCAGCAGCAGCAGCATCAGCAGCAGAGGCAGGTTCGACGAAGTCACAGCACGTCAGCCGTCGGGAGCGTTCATGCAAATGGCAGTGCTGGCGGCGGCAGTTCCGGCGGCAGCGGGGGCGGTAACAGCAGGTCCTTTAATTTCAATTTCACCAATAAAGGATCTGGCGGCGGAAGCGGCGGTGGCGCCGGAAGCGGCGGACATGGCGGTGGCGGTGGTAACAGCGGTAGCGGGAGAGGGTCCTCGGTGCAGATGTTTAGCGGGTCGAACGTTAACCCGTTCGCGCTTCGGATCACGCAGAAAATGAACTCGCCCTCGCCTCTCGTGAAGCCTGGAGGCGCGGCGAACGGAACTGCAACAGAGGCAACGGAGGTAGGGGAAGATTCGGCGGCAGATCCGCCGTCCGCGACACAAGACGCAGCAGTAGATGGCAATACCGGGGCCGATCAATCCGTCGTTTTAAGCACGCCGCGGCGGCCGCACGACCGTGCGATGCAGCGCGATATGTTGCTCATAGATGACGTTCTTAGGCGATCGGATCTTCGCGTGTTCTCCTATCCGGAGCTAAAATCTGCAACTAAGGGGTTCTCGAGCGATTTGCTTCTAGGAGCCGGCGGGTTCGGGAAGGTCTTTAAAGGGGTATTGAAGCCGGGAAGCTCGCAGGGTTCGGGAGCGGCAAACATGGCGGCAAGCGCGGCGGGCAACGCGCTGGAAAGCGCCGCAGCGGCGGTTTCGGGGGTATCTGGGGGATCACCGGGAGGCGGGGGCACTGCTGCGGGGGCGTTGAACGGCGGAGGGGTTGGGGAAGGGCGGAGGGCGCTGCAGCAAGAGGTGGCAATTAAAAAGCTGGACTCGAAGAGCCTTCAGGTGAGAGAAATGGTCATGTGAAGAGTCTTATGAATACAACAATGTATACATACACACATACACACATATCAGAGGAATTTTGAGGCTAATCAAAACAGAGCGCACTGCAGCAAGAGGCGGCGATCAAGAAGCTGGACTCAACGAGTCTCCAGGTGAGAAGAATGGTCAAATAAAGAGCCTTATGAATACAACAGTGTATGAAGAGCCTTATCGGAGGAATCGACAATTATAGCGCCTTCAGGTGAGACTGAGGAGAAAGTGAGATAATGGGCCGCCAGGTGACAGAGAAGAACAGTGTTGGAAAGCCGACAACAGGGGGAAAAAAGAAATGAAAAGAAAAAAGACGAAGAAGAAGAAAAAAAACACGGAGGGCGGTGCAACAAGAGCTGGTGATTTGATTGATTATTTCAAGAGATTTTCAGTGAGTCTGGGATGGGACGTCACTTAAAAATATATGCACTTTGAAGGCTCGAGGAAAGGCATGGATTAGGGTTTTGCTGGAAACGAGGGAATAGCCACTGACTGATCAATGTTTTGTGTGATGTGAACGCACATGCTGTAAAGAGGTACGCTAAACATCTTGTAAAAGCGCAGGAGAACCCTCGCTTCTGTGCCGAGGGCCACCGCCGCCTGCTTTCCATTCAATCACTGCCTTCTCTCTTCCCTCTGCCTCCTCTGCCCCACCATTGCAGGGCCACAAGGAGTGGATGGTTGAGGTGCGATTGCTAGGCCTGATTGACCATCCCAATCTCGTCAAGCTGCTTGGCTTCTGTGCCGAGGGC